ATTCTGCCGTCGTCGGGTTACATAAAGAAGGACGCAACTAACAAAAACGTAAAATGGAAATAAAAAATAAATTGATGAATTTTTCTTTCAGACCCTGTGTCTAAAGTATATTAAAAGGTATCTATATGAAAATTGAAATATATACGTAGAGACATGAAGATTTTAAGGACGAACAAATTTTTTGATAATTTGTTTATTTATTTAAATAAAACGAATTTTCCTTTTCATCTTAGCTTAAAAAATACACCTGGCATCACAAAAACATCGAAGGAAAGACGCATATAACTATTTGCGTCTTTCCAACCTAATAAATTAAAAAAAAAACTGCCATTCATTTAACAATTTTACATATTTTGGAAAGGTCATTTGAAGTTGAAAGGACGCTAATAGTAATTTACTACTTTTTTTTTAATAAATATTAGAAAAGCATTGGTAGTGAGACACAAAAAATAACAACCCGCAACTCTTGAGTAATGATTTTAAAGGGGATATCATACAAGACTTACTACGATAATAATTAAAAATTAAAAATTTTGTACAACCGACTTTAATATAAATAATTAAGGATAACTCAAAAACTATTGCTCTGACCTCGATCAAATTTATATGGGACCACATGTGAAACACCAGCTCTTAACAATAAGATATAAGCTCTTAATAATAAGATATAGAATAATAAGACAAGACCAAGAATAATTGAAATTTAAGTAATCGATGCAAATATTGTTAAAGATGACGTAGCAACTGGTTAAATAAGTCTTTTCTTTTATGTTGAATTTGTATAAGTCTTTTCTACTAAAAAAAGTCATCTGTGATCAACAGTTACGTCTAAAATTCTTACGATAATTTCTAAAATATTGATATTTGTGAATATTAAAAAAAATTAGTAGATGCGCCTTCTTATCATGAATCGAATGGTATATTTAACTCATTTATTCATAAATTGTTAGATGCGCCCTTTTTTCTTACGTACCGAGCTAGATACAGGTCGATAGCGGAGGGGGTGTGGCTACAGTCGCGTTCTAAAGTACTACATGGTATTGGGCTATTGTTTTATAATATTATAGTAATTAATTGTTTTAATGTAGAATCATAATAGGTGTTTTACTAGCTACTTAGAACTTTGGAAGAGGTGGGAATTAAAAATGGATAATGTTTACATGAGCATTATTTGTTATTTCTATCGTAAAATATAAAGTAGTTTGTAACAAGAAAACTTTAGCTAAGGGTAACACGCCGTCCATTATGACGTCTTGGGTCACATGGAAGCCAGATGTTAATGGTGTGTTGGTGTTACTGGATGCTACTTCATCATCACTTTCATCTTCGCTTGAGCTTCCGTCATCAGGTCGATCACATGGTAATTTTTTCGGTATTCTTCCTCCACACTTTTAACTTTACTGCACAATTTTCCCCATTCACCTTCTCCTATCATATTTACCTTTTCGATCACTAGTTTAGTCATAAAACAATAGATATAAATAATTTTTCTTTCCTTCCTTTTTAAAACATCGTCGCGAGTCGCAAAGTAAGCTGTGTATGCGACTGTATTTTTGGAGCGAACAAAGCGCGGGAACCAATAGCATGCAGGCACACTAATACTGGCGGATTGTTCCCCCGTCGCGCGCCTTTCGTACCAATATGTGATAAATCGCTCAGTGCCCAAGTTCAAGGCCAGCGTTTGTTTTTCACCGTTCGCGCGTACATTAACCTCCATTAGTCAGGTGATATCAATTCACTTTCCACTGCTGGTTTTATGTTTCAGTATTTTCATGATATTTTTTATGAAATTATCGTTTCATTTAGCTGTACTAACATGATGGCGCGTGAATAAAGCTAATAAGACGTTGTTAAAAGATGATTTTTTTTTCATCAGGATCGACTTTATTTGTAACCCATGATCAAAGGTATACTTGGTGCTGTCGCCTGTCTTAGTTTTCGGGAGCGTTCCAAAAATACCCTGTATATACTATGTTTATATATACTATATTCCGTTTATATATACGTATATATAAACGGAAGACGCCAACGGAAAAGAAAAATAATAACCCTATTCGACGAAGCAAACGATTAAATCCTGAGTACAGACTAGTTGAACAAGAGCGCAATGCTCATAAAGTTGCTCGATTAAATCCTGAATATAGGCAAGCTGAAATAGAGCGCGGCACTGAGGCTCACCATGTCGCACGACTCGACTCTGAATACAGGTAGGTGGAGCAAGAACTGGACACTCAGGCTCACCAAGGCGCACGACTCGACCCTGAATACAGGCAGGTGGAGCAAGAACGCGACACTCAGACTCGGTGAAGTGTTCGAGAAAATGAAGAATACAGACAAATTGAACAAGCACGAGGTACACGGCAGGAAATTCGATCAAATAATAAGGCATTCTGGGAAAAAACTGCTACAAAATATTATAAAATCATCAAAGAAGGTTTTACTCGTCCGTGTAGTTGTTGTGGAAGATTGTGGCATATAAATTCGATAAGAAAACTGTCAAAACAAGACATTACTAATAATTTTGGCGAAGAATATGCTACAAACACATTCAAGTTACCAAACATAGCCAGTGAAATATTTGGAGATTTTTGTAGTACCTGTGCAAAATATATCACTCAAAGCAATGTTTCACGATTAGCTATTGTGAATGGCTTAGTTATTCTAGATATTCCTGAGATACTAAAACAACTAACGCCAATGCAAGAGAGGCAGGTAAGCCCTCGTCATGTGTTTTTAAAAATTGTTCAAAAAGGTCAAGGGTTAGGTTTTCAACACGGACTTGTAGTAAACGTTATAAACGTACGTGTACTCAATTTAAATGAATCTCGGGATGTTGAAGTAGTTGACGATAATATAGTGTACGTGTGATGGAGGTGTTGCAGAAGAAGGAGGAAGAAGAAACAGTTAATCCAGGAGGTACCGGAACTCTATTAGATGACAATCAAGATGTAATAGTAATGGCTCCAGGCGAAGGTCACGTCTCTAAATCGTCACTATTTGATGAAAATTTAGAAGAATTGGCGTTTATTAAAGTTCTAGTGGAATTAAGAGTGACTTTAAAATTAAGTTGAGTTATGCAGAAGTAATGAAAGTGGAAATATCTAGATGTGACCGTCGAGCTGTACGACCAGACTACCTGTTTACTGCTCTAAAAAAACAACAGATGATTACAGTAAAGAATAGCATATCCACCTGCCTACGAAAAAAATCCGTCAAAGGGGCACCTGTTCTGGCGTGTAATGTTTAGGATGCTAATTATATAGATGATTTAGTCTAACATGACGACGAATATCGTGTTCTTTGGGGTGTAAGAAATTCCCCATCTCCCTGGGAGGCAGAGAAAAAGAAAGGCTTGTGAATGATAAGGCAATTCGGAGTGCCTTCGTTCTTTGTGACTCTGTCTGCTGCGGAGGCCCAGTGGACTGAACTTCCGATAATACTGAAAAAAATTATCGATGGTGATAAAATAACTGAATCCGATGCTGAAAGACAAATATGAAACGAAGACGCGCTTAATTCAATCTGATCCGTTTATATGTGCTTCATATTTTGAAACCAAACTAAGAGAAATTCGCAAAACCTGGTCTTGTCCTGAAGGTCTTTTTGGTAAATACAGAATTAGTCATTTTTATTATACAATTGAATTTCATCAAAGAGGTTCGCCCCATGCTCACATAATGTTATGGCTTGAAGAAGCGCCGATTTTTGTACCAGGAAATTCAGATACTGTTCAAAATGTAGTTAAATTTGTAGATGAAATTTTATCAGAAATATATTTGAACACTAGTTTGCCCCAAGAAAGAGTACATATTTTAAAGAGAATGCAAGAAATTATGATATTACTTACAGCTTTTACTGGAAAAGCTGCTTTTGGCATAGGTGGCCAAACTGTTTACAGTGTATTAGGTTTACCAATTTCACAAGCAGGAAATATTTTACCAGAACTTTCACCAAGTGTTGCTAATACACTTGCAACAAAATTATCAAAATTGCGATTAACCATTATTGACGAAATTTCAATGGTTGGGTCTAGAACTTTTCACCAAATAAACCGCCGGTTGCAGCAAATTTTTCATACATCAGTTTTATTTGCTGGAATATCAGTTATAGTTGTAGGTGACTTAAGACAATTACCACCAATTGGTGATAATTGGGTGTTCCAACCTAATTCACGAAATCCTCTTGCCGAAATTTCGGGGATACCTATTTGGGATCTATTCTACTTATTGAGTTAAACCAAATAATGCGAAAGAGGGACGATGTTGCCTTTGCTACGGCTTTAAATAATTTAGCAAGTGGACCTATGACGAGTGACGACATAGTACTGTTTAGAAGTCGTTGTTTTAGTCAATCTACGTTACCAGATGAGGCTCGAGGCGCTGTCAATTTGTACGCTAGCAACCGAGAGGTAGACGAACATAACAGTAGAGTTCCGTCGACTATGGATAGTGAAGGTCCTTCGTCATTAGCAATAGATTCTGTCTGAGGAGAACTAAATGTCACTATGAAGGAGAAAGTCTTAGAAACTGTTTCTAGGTTGTCAACTCAACAAACTTAAGCCGGATTTACATTTGTCTGACGTGTTGTGTTGTGACGCATCAGAATGGTATCGGTTTCATACATTTAGTATGGTGAGATTTATATTTGTGTGTCGCGATCTGTTGTGAGGGCTTCTGATGCGACGCATCAGACGAGATTCCGATCGCATCAGAGGGGTGGAGGTGGGTGGGCGGGGGAGCGGCCGCCTGGCGACGCAGCAGACAAGTGTGCACGCGACAGTATTGCGTTGTGACGCGTCAGAGCCACGTGCGTTTTTTGTTTATCCACTCGATTTAAAGTTTTAGAAAAGAATTTAAAGTATGGACGACTTGATAGAAATAGTACGACAATATAAAGTGATTTATGACACCAAATGTAAAGAATATAGGGACCAATCCATTAGAGCATCTGTTTGATAGGAGAAAAAATTAAACAACCCCGTAAGTACTATACTGCTTTATTTAATTAAACCGTGTTCTACCTTGTGTAATAGCTTGCATTTGCCATGGAACTTGTCCCTGGGGACTTACAAAATATGTTTTATATGCTTCACGAACTTGAATAGCTTCTTGAGATGGATTTCTATTTAACGGTTCGATGTCTACTAAGCCATTACCGTCGCTCACCTCGCTTTCATCCATCAAAGTTTCTTGTGTTTCCTGTGTGTCTTGGGTCAAAAAGTTATGAAGGCAGCAGGCAGCAAGTACGATCTTGTCCGCCATGTTTGGTTGTACTTGTAAAGGTCCCTGAAACACTCTAAATCTAGCTCGTAATATTCCAAATGCATTTTCTACAGTACGGCGAGCACGTGATAAGCGATAATTAAATATTTTATTTGGGTTATTGTTAACTAATTTAGCTTTACTATACGGTTTTAATAAATACGTTTTCAGTGGGAATGCCGCGTCTGCCACAATAGTGTAGGGTAAAGGTTCTGTATTTTGGTTTATAGGTTTATTCGGTGGCACATTTAATTGACTGCTTTCAAACATTTTTCCCATTAACGACTCTTGGTAAATGCCACCATCACTATTTCGGCCATACGCTCCTACATCTACCATAATAAATCTATAATGCGCATCAACAAGTGCAAGCAGTACAATAGAATGCTCATTTTTATAATTATAAAAAGTGGATCCTGCATTTATTGGACATATTATAGAAATATGTTTTCCATCCAATGCTCCAATACAATTCGGAAAATGCCATACATTTTCGAATCCTTTCGCAATCTTTCTCCACATTTGTTCTGTAGGCTGGGGCATTACAATAGGGACCAAATTCTTCCAAATTGCGTTACATACTTGTTCTACTATGATCTTTACTGTAGCAAACCCCATACGGTAATTGAACCCCAATGATCGAAAATAATTTCCAGTTGCCATAAATCTGTAATATAAAAACACAGATAATTTATTTTTGTTTCAGCGGAAAAATGTAAAGATGACTGGAATAAATTACGAAATAGCTACGTCAACGCATTGAAACGCCGTAAAAATAAAAAAGTGGGCAAGCCGCTCAATTTATCCCGCCATGGAAATATGAAGAACAAATGAGTTTTTTACAGCCATTTACGGAATCAAGGTCGACAACAACAAATCTTTCATCACCTCCTGAATCTCCAGAATTTCACTCAGAAAGTACTCAATCAGACAATTCTCGTCCAGCAACACCACATACTGGTAGTTCCTCGCACTCCCAACAGCCTGTTAGAAAACCAAACTTACAGGATCTATATGATATGATGAAGTTTTCGCACGATTTGAGAATCCATAAGCATCATTCAAAGCAGCAGCAGGATAATATGACGGATGAAACAGACTTGTTTTTTCTGAGCATGAGCAAAGCAGTTAAAAAACTTCCGAAACTAGATCAGACCAAAATAAAATTGGATTTGCACACTGCTGTATCACAAGCTGAAATAAGGAAACTTCAGACACAAGCACAAATTCTTAGAACACCAATTAATGTGACTCACCAGATAGTTACTCGGCCACAACAACCGCTGCCACTCCAACTACCCATTCCACCATCCACATCCATGACGACATTTCCAGCAGTCCCAGCTACACCAACTCTCGACAACATCAACTCTCAACAATCGGCCTCAACACTTTATAATTTTGAAAAAGATAACATCTCATCATATTATAGCAATGCAGACTTTTCTGATGATAACTGATTACCTGTCTTTACTAATAATGTTAAAAAAAAAACCAAATAAATCCTTACCTTAAACACACAGCAAGTCTTTCTTTTGTCCCTATAGGTTTACGAAACTTCGTATGTATTTTTTTTATGTCCCCTTCAATCAATGAATGAACTTCCTCGAACTGTGCCTTGGACATTCTAAAATACTGATGAAATCTTTGAGCATCGTTCTCAATCTCTTTAACGAGACAGTGAAACTCGCCTTTAGACTCTCTTTTATTATTCACTGGATGAACCCAATATCTTCTTCTCTTTATTTCTTTCTTTTTTATAAGAGTTGCCAGCACCAAAAATTCAATATCTTCTTCATACTCTGAATCAGAGTCGGATGATTCATGGGAAAACATTGTAAACGTATGAACTCTCCGAGAGCTATGACTGTATTGATTCAAAATATCGTCAGAGGCCGTCAGAACACAACATAAAGATGTGAACACTAGCCATCACGTCAGAGCCCGTCACGACACAACACGTCAGGCAAATATAAATCCGCCTTTATGGACTTCCTAAAGGTTTAATATTGAAGGTAGAGGCAAAATATATGTTGAAAATTAACATAGACACTGCTGATGGTCTAACTAACGGTTCTACTGGATTATTAACAAAAAAATCAGGTGAAAAACGGCCGTTGCGGATTTGGTTGAACTTCGATGAAGCTATTCTTGGTAAAATTAAAAGAAATAAGGCTGCTAGTTCACCAAGTCGATATAAAAATAGACTAAATAGAAATTGGACTCCGTTAGAACCGGTCACATACACAATAAAAAGATATAAATCATCACATTTACAAGTTCGCAGAAGTTTTTTGCCCATCAGCAGAATCCACCATTCACAAAAGTCACATTAGTACATTTAAAACTTTTCGATTCAAAGGTCTATGATATACGTCGCTTGTTGTCGTGCAGCTACAGCGCAACTGACTCATTCAAAGCACCCCACCCTCCAACTAGTAAAGATGCTATTGTAAAAGAAATGACAAAAATTACGTGAGAAACCAATAGTACCAATTTTTAAATTTCTTAGAGAGCGCCATAATTTTTCACACAGATTATGTACCATAATGTACAGTTTTCAGCTTCAGACATATATTTTACATCAGAAACTTCGAGTTACACTGAGGATTCATTCTCTCTACCAGATTTCGTAGAAATCGTTAGAACCAATGGGCCCAAGACAGCGGCCTCTAATCCTGGTTTCGGAATCTCAGCGTGTGTCAAACAAGACTTACACATCACTTCACTCAAAAGTTACTTCCAACAATCCAGTACTTTTGGTCACGTTGAAGCAATTTCATTTGAATATAATAATTATAGAATATTTGCTGTACAAATCGCCCAAATGTACAAACAAAACTTTCATGGAGTTCATAAACAAAAACGTTTTATGCAAAAACAATATGCCAACATTACTTTTTGGAGACTTCAACGGAGATTTTTTAAAAGATAGATATATATATTGGCTTGTGTAGCTATCACAAGCCTATATGGGCTCGCATCTAAATCCCATCATTTAGGTACCTAATTATAATGTTTACTTATCAATAACTTAACTTACAATAAATACACTATTATTAAAACATCGATCAAAATTACAACGAACTACAAGAAATTTTATATTATGTTACTTGCTGCTACGGAACCCTTCACGGGCGAGTCCGACTCGCACTTGGCCGTTTTATTGAGGTTTGAAGCGCTCATTTTCCTATGATTCCTCTATATACCTATCTTATATTGATTAAAATAGTATGGCCATCTTACCTCAACTTCTATGGCCATCTAATATTGAATATCATAGGAGAGATGGCCACCCCAGTGTGTTTCTTTAGAGTGAAGTTAAAGATGGATTTCTGTTGTTATTTCGTATTCAATTTGATTATAAATGTACAAATTACTAAATAAAAATAAAATAATTGTATTATTTGATGGGCTTCAAAATAGAATGCCCCAGAGAAAACTATGGCCATGCCATCCGTCGTCAAATTACCCTATACAGGGTAAAGTCAAATTGCTACAAATTTGACCCCCTATGTATGGCCGAAAATGAACAGGTCTTGAGATATACGGATTTTAAAGATTTTTCAATAATCACCCAGAATATCGTTGATAAATTTTTTCTTTGTTTTACATTTTATGTATAATAATTTTTTTTAAAAAACATGCCCATTTAATCAGCTATCCAAAAAGGTAATAATATCCCGGTGAAGTTAATGAATAATAATAATAATAAAAGGATCTTTTACTTAACGCAGGTAGAGAACGGCAAAGAACGGCTCTTAGGAACGAACTTCCACATTTTTAGTCACTTGGCGTCTGATTGGTTGTTGACCTGTATTGAGTCTTAGCGACGCTCATTAGTTAGTTTCGACTATCACTGCGCATGCACGTTTATAAACTTCCTTCTAATAAACTCTCATCGTAATAATCCATTTGTTATTGTTTTGAATCGTTATCGTTATTGTTATTATTGCTATTACCGTTCTGTTACTGACTGTTCATTGCGACTATTTTTGTGGAAAAAAAATGGCGTCACATTCTAATAAAGAATATGCCGACATCATGTACTGTTTTGGTTTTGCAGACGGCAACGCTGCTGGGGCTCATAGAGAATATCGTCGCTTTCCTGATCGCCAGTTTCCCCACGTTTGTCTTCGGAGCTAACTATCGACGATTAGGGTCCGTTCACACAGACCGGCTCGGAGAGGAGAGCAGATTTTTATCACGTTGGAAACAGTGTTTTGAGTGATTGTAGTAAAGTTTATTTTTGCATTTGCACCTTTTTTGTCATTAAAAATGCCTGAACGCGCTTCGTGTGAAGTAATAAAAGGAGCCGACCGGCTCCGCTTGCGTGCTCTTTCTCGCTCGCGCAGCCGATCGGCTCTGATTGCGTGCTCTTTCTCGCTTGCGCAGCCTGTCGGCTCCGATTGCGTGCTCTTTCTCGCTCGCGCAGCCGATGGGCTCCGATTGCGTGCTCTTTCTCTATCGCGTAGCCGATCGGCTCCGATTGCGTGCCCGCTGCGGCCGCGCCGACCGCCATTTTGATAGCAACATTTGAACGTAATAGTTGTGCGTACTTGTACGAAAAGATGAATGATGAAAAATTAATAATACTCGTGTCAAAATATGAGTGTTTATTTGACATAACCAAGCCATCATATAGCGATCGGATAATGAAAGACAATGCATGGGAGGAAATTAGCAAATGTCTCGGAATAAGTGGTAAGTAAGGTTTTCATTGTTTTACACCTACCCCCAGATACTCAAACGAATTTTAAAGCAAGGGCTTCTTAAACTCGTGCTGCGACGTGTTAGATTCAAAGTCAAAATAGGAATAACATGAGTTTAAATGCGCCCTTACTTTAAAAACTCGTTTGAGTATCTGATCGTTAGAATATACTTATGTAGTAGACAATTTTTATTAAATATAACTTAAGAAACTCGCGTAGCCACTTGATCTTGCCAATCTAAAGCACCACTTGATGAAAAATAATCCTTAAATTTATTCCTTGTGGTTAGAACTGCGTCGCTATTAGAACTGTTTTCATTATTATTGTCTGTTATTGCTGTTAATAAATTTATATTGCTGTGAAATTCATTCTCTTGTCCTGGCGTCCGATTTTCTATTAAAAAATTATGTAAACATGTAGTTGCTAATATAATTAAATCACAGTACTTCGGCTGAATTTTCATTCGTTTTTGATAAATTTCAAATCTTTGAGTTAGCATTCCAAATGCACATTCTACGACTTTTCTTGCCCTGCTTAAACGCAGATTAAATACTTTTTTTGATAATTCTGTTCTTGCTTGTTCTCTTGGATACGGCCGCAATATATTATTGCTCAAAGGAAATGCCTCGTCTCCTATAAAAACATGTGGTAAGCTTTCAGTGGTACTAGGTAGAGGTTTATTTGGGGGCAGCTTTAACTTATTGGTGTTGAGTTTTTTCCAAAATTTTGAATTCTGTAAAATTCCGCCGTCGCTATTTTTACCATATGATCCGACATCAACAATTAAAAAACTGTATTTCGCGTCGACCACAGCTAGTAACACTGTACTGAAAAAGTTTTTATAATTATAGTATAAGCTTCCACTATTATCTGGTGCCTGTATATTGACATGCTTTCCGTCTATAG